CACTCACTCACTCACTCACTCACTCACTCACTCACTCACTCACTCACTCACCACCGCCACCTTCACCACAATCCCCACCTTCATCACCAACATCACCTCTCTGGACCCCAATGCGTCTAGATCTCTAGATTTTCTGCTTGTAGACCTCACACACACTGTTTGGGGTCTCTTGCCGGGATAATTATTATTTGGCAAACCATCAGAGATAGCCTAAGTGGCTTACATAACAGTAGTTTGCTCCACTGCAGCCATGGCGGCTGAGTCGAAAAGCTGCACTGATACAACACGCACACGGAAAAAATGCAAGAGCAAGCTTGCCAAGAGCAAGCTTGCCGCACTTTTTACACAGACGGAAGAAGGTAGAGTTGCCGCAGGAATAGCTGTGTGAAAAGCTACTCGGGAAGTGGCTAGGAGCTACAGAGACACAAATATGTTAGAATTTGTGTGTGCAAGCACTTGAAACGAAAGACGCACAACTGTTCCACTCCTTTGACTGTGCAAGCAGCCAACATCTTACATGCTAAATATGCCACCAGGCAACAAAAAGAAGTCGACATACAGGCTGTGATTTCAATAGGGAGACCCCCTGGCCAGGCCCTGTCCCGATGGTCCTTGGTCTATTTCCCTTCTTCCATGGGGGTCTTTCAGTCTCCCCAATTTAATAGACGCCCGGATCCAGTCCCTCCCCGCGCAATGCCACGACCAGCCTTCCGACTTAGACCCAGCAGGCATCAGCTCCTGGCATGCGGGCATGGCTGTGGGTTGTTCGAGCTCTAGCGCGTGACTTTCCGTGGGAAAGAACCAACAATGACCCGTTTGGGAATATGAGCAGTTGTTTTGTCTGTTTAAGAAATAATCATGTTGTAGATCATGCGTGACAACGCAGCCTTGCACAAATATGCTCATTGTAGTTTATCATTGGTATGACAACAAGTTCATGACATACTTATTGTGTTTTATTGTATCTTATTGTAGTGATGACATATCCCATCCACCCCTCTACTCCCAACCCAAATTGAAATGAAATCACATCAACATACATGTGTGTATGCATAAATATAGATCGACATGGTCATTTGATGACAACGTTGTGAAGCTTGCAAACCTATTAACCTATTATGAGAGCGATGACACTGTCAAGAGCATGCTACGCTACTTATGACACAGTTGAGCAGCCTATTATGACAGTTTTATGATAAGAATTATGAAACCAATGATATCGACTTGAAATCAATCCAATGAACAGATCCAGGGCCACAAAGAAATTCCAAAGCATCTACTTAGAACCACTGGAAAACATCGCACTGAACGTAAATGATCTTAGTCTGTCCATCACAACGCTGGACTTTGAGTGCTTATAAAAGCTACCCAAATGTAAGCAGTTTGACACCCATAAGTGTCCACCACCAACGACCAAGAACACCTATTCAACTAGCGCAGGTATTGCGTGGTTTTGGGGCTATTCAATGCTTCTTCATCTTGACTATGGCTGGATGTCTCTCTTCATCTTCCCTCATCCCCCACTCTGCACAGTGCAAGTTCGCCTCTTCTTGTGACTCCTGGATGTCTCGCCAGCCCGGAGGCTCGAACGACCGTCTCTGACGAGGGTAGAGTAACATACCTTGCAGGAGTTGTTCAGGCGCATGTACTGAGTGCGAGTGAAGAACAAAGAACAATCGATAGGCCGGCATAAAAATCGAGATGAGGACATCTTCCGATCTGGATGAGCCTGAACCAGAAGCCTGTTCCCGCTGTTGATGATCAACCAAGGATTCGTCCAGCAACTGATGAGATACTGAAATTAGAGTACCCAAGCTTTCTTCTCCCCTTGCTGAATATGCAAATCATTAGGGAGACCTCCCAAAGACCCCTGGAAGAAGGAACATAGACCAGAAGCCATTGATTATCATTGATGAGGTGTCTTCGTATTAAAATACACACCATACTAGTATGGATGGCCAGTGATGATGGGTCATGGAATTCTCATGCCTCCGCCCATCCCCGATGCCCGCCAGTCCCGCAAGAAGAGCTGCCTCAGCAAACGAGACTCGGTCGAGAAGAGCGGACGCTGTAATCGGAGGAAAGGAACGACAACAAACAAGATTGGCGCTCTGATGTATCCAAATACACCGAAACATTGTTTTTCTTAGCACCAGGTCTCAAGACAAAACTGCTTGGGTTTCAAGTATTTTATAATATCAGGAAGCGTGCAAGCTGGAGTGTCTGTCGAGAGAGTAGAAGCTCGGCCTCCCACCCAAGCTGGAGGGCCCAAGCTTGCCAGAAACAATTTAATGCAGCTTCTTGTTACTATAGTAGAAATGCCACTTGTTCCTAGTAGCTTCTTGCTACTAGTAGTGCCAGGAGCTACGAACTCGTAGCTTCTTGTTCCTAGCTTACAACCTCTTCCAAGTTCCGTGATCGAATTCGCAGTTGCACCGCTTCGATCCGAGGGTTTTGACCTGTTTTTTCGACCAGTTCGACCAGTTTCGACAGCGGTGATTCAAGGGTTCAGTCACAAAGTGCTCGAACAGATCGGTGGCGATGTCAGTGATTTCCCAAAAGCAGATTGGTGGATCAGCCGTATACTGCAAACACAACTGAATCAGAACAAGCAGGTCCCCTTTTTTGGCACTCTTGAGCCATCGATCTCGGACTAGATCGGCCCGAGCAGTGGATGTTAAGGTGTTGAGGGATCTTCCGTTCATGTGCGTTTTCATGGTCTATACATGTCTATAACAAACAAACCCTTACTTCACTAATTATAAGGAGTTGACACTACAACACCAGGTCAACCATGCTTAAAACGTGCTAACAAATCGAGTTGACACTACAAGACCAGGTCAACCATGCCTAAAAAACGTCCAAACAAGTAGGGTTATGTATGCCAAGTAGTAGGACGTCTACTGGGATCACTCTACTGGGACGTCTAGGACGTCGAAGCCTCGCTCGGTACCCGACAAGGCCCTCTGGCGGTGGACGCCTGGCGCCGGAACCGCTCCGATTCAAAGAGATCGAAAGCGACAACGGGTGACCATGCCGGGTGACCATGCCGGACATGGCTCTACACATTGAAAGATATCTGGTTCTCTAATTATGTTGGTTTGAAAGGAAAACGCTCTTTTGGGGAAACAACCAGGAAAAAACCTGGAACAAATCACGCGGCTGCAACTGTTGGTCTTAATGAGTCTCCGAGCTCTTTTCACTCGACTCACCGTCTCACACCATCTCAACGGTATGTATGATAGAGACTCCTATAATACGTGAACTAATAAGGGCATCCTGAACGGTGTCTTCTTCCAATTCCAACGGTCATCCTTCACGGTCCTGACACCTTTGACACCTTTGGCCACGGCTCGCGCCTCGGAGCTTGCCCCGGCTCTTGCTGCGGACCTCGGGAAGGTTGGATGGCTCTGGAACTGGGCTATGGCCCTGGGCTATGCCATTCCGAGGCCCTGCGTCAAGCCATGTTGTTCCAAAAAGGAAGCCACTTGAACCAAGGAAATCGACCTCATTCGGCCACTTCACGAACACGTGAGTTCTTGTCGCGGTAAGGGGTGCCACGCCTCGTAGGCGGACGTCTCGGGTTTGGGGTCGCCGTCTAAGACCCAGCACTGAAGTTTAAAGCTCTCAAACACCCTTGCCGGCCCTAGCCGAGACCTAGGAATGTTCATCTAGATCTAAATATATCATATACTGCTCAGCTTTCGCCGAGCACTCACGACCGAGATATATATATATACTATACTATATATATATATATACCATACCAAAAGTGATTCTGAGCTTCAATTAGATCCACCCGCTGTGCGGAGCCGAACTGAGGGTGGCAGCGGCCCATCCGGCGAACCCGCCAAGGACGCAACAGTGGTGTTTTTTCCCATCCGGGCGACTTCACCATATCCTCAGGTTCGGTGGTA